ACTTCTAAGGTATGCATTTCCATCCAGACCCTAATAAATCTAACTTCAAATTTAAGGAATTTCTCAAAGTAAATTCAAATTCACATATTTCCACCCCTCGCTTCCAAATATCATTTAGCAATCAATTTGTTTATTGTTACCAGCAAAATGCTTGAGTCCAGGAATATATTCACAACTCATGTTCTTTTTGAAAACATTTCTTCAAAAAGGGGTCATTTAAAAATTGTATAATTTTCAATTGGACTGAGCATGAAAATGTATACATGTAACATACTTCAGTCTTGAGGAATATGAGTTATGTATTAGTTGAACTTGGCTTTGATCTAGCTTACAGTATTTGTGTTTGTCTCTATTGTTTTTACGTTAGTGATTTCTGTACTTCGTACCAATCTTTTGAGTTAGACTGGTTTTTACAGTTCTTATGTTCTGCTGTAAGACCACTGTCACACGTTGGGGGAGGGGGGTGTAGGCGCTCACAAACATTTACCTTCGCCACATTCTGTATGTGCCTGTCTTAAATCAGAAGCATGTAGATCAGTGGTTGTCGTTGGTTCATGTCTGTCATATTTTTTCTTCGGAAATTATTTTTTTATAAATAAGATCGTTAGTTTTCTCGTTTAAATTGTTTCACATTTTTCATATTGAGAGCTTTTTTAGTCGAATATACGGTATGGGGTTTTCTCATTGTTGGAGGCCGTACGGTTATACCAAATAATTGGTTCAAACGACACTTTCTTCATTTATTATTAGGTTTCCATTTTAAAAAGAAATGTTTTTCATCATCTGATTCTTTACCAACTAGATAGTTGTCAATAATTATATTCGATTTTCAATATGACTTATGATTCACATTATCGTATCATTTACTTGTTTTCTTTTTGTGGTTTTTATAAACATAATATGTGTGTGCGTAGAGTTTTTGGAACGCCACTGTTGAAAATGGGAGGTAATCCGGGAGGTGTGGGGGTTGTAATTGCTGTGCATCCAAGCTTTTAACCAGTATCGTGTATCTTTTCTATTAACTTATCGAGCTTTATGCCTAACAATTTCTTATGAAGTTATAGACTTGCAAGCATACAGGTATATTACTTTCCAATCTCACCTGTGCCATCGGCAAATCCAACATCAAGGATGTACACAAAGAGCTTATGAAGTAATATTGCGTAATAACTATGTCTTATCAATCCCCCATGTGGCGTGACACCTGAAGCTTACAACTTCAAACGAGACCTGAAATCTTGAAATTCAATCACCTTTACCGCACACCTGTGACCTATGATGAACTCATGGCATGGCACCTGAGACCCCAACTCTGGGTTCCTTATGAAAGTAGGCGGAAAGAAGTGTAGTTTGGGGTTGTTAAAAACAAGGATTTGTATAGTCTTATTATACAAATCCTTATTAAAAAGTCCTATCTTTACACCTCAAAGTCTGCGTGTCATTCGAAAAACAGAAAATATCATGTCATTATTCTTTTTAATTATATTGTTGAATCCATCGGCATCACAAATAATCATTGTTTATCGCTGTCATGCGTTTTGTTGGATAATATTCGAAACTAAATTTGCGCTGTACCCATATGTCAATATGAATGAAAGTAACCAGTGACGTAGTAGCCTCGTTCTGAGTGACTTCCGGGATGGAAATATGCATATTTGACAGGTCGATAAATCGTTGCATCAAAATACATATTTTACCAAATATTTTTGAAACTTATATTGCTATCGATGTATTTTTGTGGAAAGTTATGTATAAAAAAAGTTAGAAACAAAAATTGAAGATTGTGTCATGTCTCCTTTAATATTGGTGATGTTTTGAACACTTTTTAGGCGTATATATAATTTATTTATTGTGTACAGGTACCGTTACTCGCAACGATCCAGCGCCCTCGTAAGAAAGTTCGTTGACTAATATCTAGACGTTTTGTATAAATATATTATAAATATATACACGTCTAAATAGGTGACAACTTTACGACAGACGTTCTCCATCGGATAACCTGTGGTTATACAGAGCTACCACGATTTGTATATACTTCTTTTACCTATTATGTCTGTTTGTTTTGTTCGCACATTGTTGTCAATATAATGGATTTTTATGCGACTGTCATACAAGTGAGAGGTTTAGCTAGCTATAAAACCAGGTTTAATCCACCATTTTTACATAAGAAAATGCCTGTACCAAGTCAGGAATATGACAGTTGTTATCTATTCTTTTGATGTGTTTGAGCTTTTGATTTTGCCATTTGATTAGGGACTATCCGTCTTGAATTTTCCTCGGAGTTCGGTATTTTTGTGATTTTACTTTTTTCATCTCAAATTTAGCCCAACAATGTTAGGTCTGCAAATTTGCGTTAGCGGGCTTCGAACCCCTGCATCTGAGATATCGTGGCAACATCGCCTACACTGTGTTCAGCGCCCTCAACCACTCGACCAACTAGGCTATATAAAAATATAGCTTTCGCTAGTATATATATATATAATCAAAATCTCTCAAATTGAGGTAAATTAAATTTAAATAATCCGGAGCTTTCGACCGGTCATGCCGGACTTCTTAAGCGGACTTTATTTTTGGTATAGTAAGACCTCAATCGTTACAATGAACAACGTAATAGTTAAAAGAATAAAATCAGGAAAAAGAACGTTATTTTTTTGTATTAATTCCAAACGGCTTATATGTTTGTAATTGTTAATCGAAAGTTTCTCAATAGTATCTCGGTATGTTATATCGCTGCAAATGTTTTCAAGAGCAAATATTAAATAATCATTTACGGAGTGATTTGTTGAATTAAAATGTCGAGCAACAGGATCCGGTTTTCGTCAACGGATAAGCGATACATTTAAAAGATGTCTTTGATATAGCGTATAGCTAGTCTCACCTACGTATATCAATTTTTGATAGTATTTACAAAATAATGCATACACTAAAGTAACAGTTGAACAGTTAATCCAATTTTTAACGTTAAAAGTTTGTCCTTCAAATATTGTGTATTGCGCTCATACGGGCATATTCCGTCCGCATGGTTCACATTTATTGGGTTGTTTAAAGTACATTGCGTTATGCTTTTTATCAACTAAAGTGTCTTTTAGGTTTTTGTCATGTCTAAATGCCAAAATAGGTGGTTTGTCAAAAACTTGCTTCATTTTTGTTTGACTTGCATAAAACTGTCATCTTCTTTTTATTTATTTATCGAACATTTAGTAAACCTTTCGAATAGGTTAAGACTAAAGGTACCCAGTCTGTCTGTCTTTGATTTTTTCGTTCTATATTGTAAAAGATTACTACTGTCTAATTTGTCCACTTTATTCAGTCGATTTCCAACCGTTTTACATGTATAACAATGTTTACACATATTCTTCTTAAATTCGATTCTCTGCATTTCGCATGTTGATTCTGCAGAGCAAATTAGTTTTACTCTGACCCCTAAACCATATGGTATTGACGCTTTCCTAGAATTCGGATGTGAAGACATTGAATGAAGGTATAAATGTGTGTCAGTAGGTTTTTTATCATATTATTCTGAATTATAGGGACCAGTGTATATACATATTGACGTTTTGAAATATATCTTGAGTCCAGTATTGCTGTTCCGTATTCCATTATGTTTTGACATGGAGATTTCCAATAAGGAGTTAAAACGTTCCTCCCATTATCTGTTTGTACTTAATCTATATGATTATCGATATAACATGACGCTTTAGTCTATCTCGAATCGAACGATTTCGTCTTTTGTGTGCAGATTTCCTATTCATTGATTATTGGCGTTGATGAGAGATAACATGGTCATCGCTATTAACTTTTTTACAGCTTGCTTACGTTTTTCGCATTAGGCGCTTGTTCATATTAAAAATTCATGTGTTGACCTCTAATTGTCTTTTGAGATTAACTTTTATTGCTTTATTTACATAGATGTATCGTGTATATCTCTTATCTCCCTTAGGCTAAAGATGGTAATAAAAAAGATAAAACTAGAAAAAAGTTCTCACCGATTTAAAATGCAACAGAACAATGTTAAATCTTCCACATATTTGTTGACCTTTATCAGTATCCTGCCTGTGATACTAAACACAGTATTTTTATTAATAAACAAGTCCAATACACATAGTTAACTTATTCGTTTTAAAACATTCAAGATTAAAAAAAATGTTTTTTAATGGAATTTAAGGTAAATTCTCTGAATTATAGTTCTATGACCATTTGTTAATTCTATATATATATATATCGAATACTCTACTCGTATTGTCTAGAAACTAACTTCAAAGAGAAATATTTTGCGGATAAATATCAAACAAAAGTTTTTATAAAAATGTTCAAATTATTATTTACCGATGTTCTCCGTTAATACTTACTTAATCACTCAAAAACACGAGAAAAACATAAATTGGCATATCAAATTTACGAAAGTTTCAAATTGCCAATGGACTGAGTCATATCGTTATTTCACAACAACATATATTTTATTTGTAATTTAATGAAAATATTTAGTATTTTCCCTTTTTTCCGCAGAAAAAATTAAGATGCACCACGTGAATAAGGTTCTTGTCGTGTTTTGAAATAGTTGAAGTACCATCATGTAGGCATCAATTTATATATATATCTCGATCTGTACATTTTTGATGAGTCAATCGCGGATATCTGAAGCTAGTGATTATATATTAGAGAATACAAAATGAAAATAACACTATATACATTTGGTTCATCCGATGCATATTTCTCAATTTGCTTTAATCAGGAACACTCAATCCGTAAATTTGAAAGCCATGGATGTAAAGATATATGTATTCTTGAGAGCTTTATGGCAAAAAGATATCTACAATGAATAGCTAAATCAACCTTATGAATTCATGCATTTCGGATATGAATTGATGTTTTTCTTTTATATATTCATCAGTAAATTTTCTTTTAAACAATTTTATATCAAATTTTCTTTGTGCATATCTGTTATGTGACGCTCTCCGTTATAAAATATTTCGACAACCGATCTCTCATATCTTCCGTAATCAAACAAATTCTGTTAAAAAAAAAACATTTTAATTATTCTTTGGCTAAATATCACTTGTAACTATACACAGACGTTTCACCATAGTTCTCCCTGATTGAATAACAATGGAACACATTATAAGGTTGCTATTAGGTTTCCCCGACCTTTTTGGAATTTCGAAGATTCCACTAAACACGAAGTATTACATACTTCTATTATGCTAGTCATGATGTCATACTATATTTTTATATTAATAAGAAATAAAGCTGTAAACCAAATGAACATGTTAAAAAATAAACAAAACATTACAAATGGAAAAAAGTACTAAAATCTTCACTTATAAAACCAAAATGCCAACAAACAAACAACAGCTGACATGGTAATACTTATGATATTGCAAAGCATCCCGTTGCTTTTTTGAATGCTGAAACTTATGCCTTCTTTATGTTTATTGAGGTGGTTATACATGTAGTCATCCGCAAAATGAAGTATTTGCTGCAAAGACATTAAAGCCAGGATGTTCACATTATCATTAAGTTCCATCTCAGATTCATAATTTTTTACTGGTAGGATATGTGACCTCAGTAATCCCATTATCTGCGAAACTCTGTCGACCGTTTCCTGGACCAAAGGACTGTGAAATACATTTGATAAATTTTCCTCTGTTCTTTGACAAACTTTGTCTATCTTTGTTAGTAAAACCACTTGCGGAATGCCTAAAATGTATATGAAATGTTTGATGAATGCATCTAGTATTATATGTTCCAATTTCTTGCTGGTGCAAAATTCGTTTAGGTATTTTACAGCTGATTTTCTATGAACATTTCAATCATGATTGATATTTAACTTAAGATTTGTTTCATAAATTATAATTCAATATAAAATAAGGAGATGTGGTATGATTGTTCAAGTTTGGTCAGTTTATGAATGTTGAGATACTTCATTAAAGCAGGTTCTTTGCTTTCATACCTCTTTGGTTCATACGCATCTGTAATTTCTTTAGCCTTTCGGCGACTTTTTCTGCCATAACGTCAATAGTGCTGCCATCTAATACTATCACAACACAGTGGATTGTTTCACTGATGTGTGCACTCTCTACAAATCCTAATGTATCCGTTGAAACTGGAACTGATGGATTGAACTATAAGAAAGAATGTTGATAAATATAGAAGCAGACTGAATTTTGTTGATGCAATAAAATTGGCACCGTTAATGTTATTGAATTGTATAATCTATAAAAAGTAGCAAATAAAATATCGAAAGAGTATAAATAAATATTTGAAATATCCGTTGTCTTTTTTCTTTCTTTTAAGCTTGTTATAAGAAAAATCATGAAAGTCTTTTTATAAGTTTTTTAATTTATAAATTGTTGGTTGTGCTCAAGTGGTATTTTATTTAAGGTATTACTGGAAAGGAATATCGAAACACAATTATACAGTTTATTAACTTGCACTTTGACCTAACTACGCACTAAATTGCTTACCGTTTCTAGTAGGTGTTGAGCTATATAAAATCTGTGAACTTACAGCGAGTATGATAACTTATACATGTTATAGTGAAAGTCCCTTATCAGTACTTATACATCCCGCCATTGTGTTATTGTGCTATGGTCATTTTTTCTATTCTTGTCTTTCATTTTTGCTTATGTGCTTTGTCTATATACTTTTTGGTTTTTCTTTGTTAACATATTTTTTTTTATAGTGATTATTAACACAATGTTGACTGCCGTACCCCTACTTTTGACATTTTTACCTATTGTGTCTGCTTATTTTGTTCACACATTGTTGTCAACATAATGGAATTTCATGCGACTGTCATACAAGTGAGAGGTTTAACTTGCTATAAAACCGGGTTCAATCTACCATTTTCTGCATATGGAAATGCCCGTACCAATGCAGGAATATGACAGTTGTTCTCCATTCGTTTTATGTGTTTGAGCATTTGATTTTGCCATTTGATAAGGGACATTCCGTTTTGAATTTTCCTTGGAGTTCAATATTTTTGTTATTTTACTTTTTGATAGTCTTTTCTGTTAATATTTTAATGAGAACATCATATCATGTTATGAAAAAATCAAATACCAATATCTTCTAGAAGCTCAAAGAAGAAAAAAATAATCAATATCGATAAAAGGCCCCCCGATATATACTTTTCCTGACCTGTTGATTATTTTTTTTTTTTCAACGTGTAAGTCGTTTGATCCTAATTCTTCATCGGTCAACGTTCAATTATGACGCCAAATTTCGTTGCTTTCCTCTGAATTTTCTATTATGACGTCACGAAAAAAAGCGACCCTGTCTGATGACTTAACATATTAAGAACACATCTTTCTGCAGATCATTAGACGTCTGTCTGTATTTGGTCTACAAATCATTAGAGAAACAGATTCTACCACGAAATCTCGTGCTATACGACATTTCTCCACTCTCGACAGTTAACTTGTAAATATTTAAAATAATCGTCAAGCGTCATGTTTTAAATTTGAATATTTAACCGATTCGAGTAGAGAAATATCGTATCACACTCGATGCAGTGGTAGAATCTATATATATATTACCTTGTAACCATCTTGTATATTGCCATCAAGTAAATAACAAATTTCATTCGCATCTACTCCTTGATCAGCTTCGATTCCTCTCGTATCATGTAGTCGAAAATTCATAGGCTTACCCCTTACTCCTTTTCTGATTTGGTACATCCTATACTGAAAGGAAATAATAGATATAAAAAGATGTGGTATGAGTGCCAATGAGACAACTCTCCATCCAAGTCAAAATTTATAAAAGTAAACATTATTACATGGAAATGTATGAAATTCATCAATCTTCTGAATAAAAAATATACTTTTTTTTTTAAATTCTTATGAAGTATTCTTATTCACGAAGTTTTGTATAGGCTTTCTCCTTGAACCATAACCTTACGTATTATACGTATACAAGTTACGTATACTATTATACAATTTATGTATACTATTATACAGGTTATGTATACTTATATACAAGTTAAGGCGCATTTGTTGTGACTTTATAAGACTTTTTGCGTACTATGAAACCTATAAACCCTCAGAGGAAAGATTGAGAATGATATAATATGCTTTGTTGTTCAAGCATCCATCGGTATCATCAGATGTAACTACTTGCATGTTGTTGTGTTGAAATATTGATGTTTGATATTAATTATTCTATATAACTGTCGATATTTTAAAGCTGAGAAAATCAATATGATAGTTTTACAAGGTACAGCACACCATCCTTTTGACAACACTGACACCCCTTAAAAGATCTTCTATTCACGTATAAAAACGTTCATGTTCTATTGTCCACAAGACGTTTATATACATGTAGTCTATTGCAAGATTTAGTCTACGATAATACTTCAGTTATTCTAACATTTACACTTACCACAGTTGTAAGGCTATGCTCAGCATTACCACTACATGCTTGGCTTGTTATATAGCCTCTAAATATTGAGTTAATAGTGTTGAAGAAACTCGACTTTCCGGAGCCTACTTGTCCCACCAATAAAATGCGTGCTTGAGGAATTTTTAAACCCGGTAAAGGTGTGTATTTTTCTATTTTTTCCTTCAGCTCAACCAGCAACTTAAATGATGAAAAACAAATCAATGAAATGTCCAAATTATTTAAAATGACTGATCTCATTCATAAAAGTGTAAGTGTTAAGAAAAAAATATATCAGACCATCGTCAGCACATGTGTTTAACTGTCGGGTCGGATAAGTGCATTATACCATAATTCTAAATAATTGAAAAAAATTACGACAAATATTCTCAAAAAAGGAAAATAAGGACATTTTGAAAACATACGAAAGAATTAAATTTGAAAAAAAGTAAATGAAGTTTGAAGCTCCTTATATTTGCTATCATGATAGAAAGTTTTTTATAAATCCTCCAATCTATTAAGATAGGGAATTTGAATGACGAAACTTATACTGTTGTTTGTCTTTTTTTTTTTTTTTTTTTGCCATCCCGAGGACCTGATAGTCCACTTGCAATGAACCCATTGGTGGTAAAATTGCGCACGATGTCATTACGAGTTTGTTGGTTGAGATCAAAAAGGAAAAAAATACCGTTGGACCACACAAATATAAAATCCTTAACACTGCAGTCAATGATTACCTTTGCCTGAGAAAACTGTTAACACTAAAATCATAACTGTTTGCCATGTTATTTTTATCTTTAACCTGGTAAATCTAATCTTCTCATTAAAAGGGATTTTTTCTTCAAAAAAAGGGGATCATAGATATAAGTTCATAATTTTAAGTCATGTAAATTCTTACTTTATGAAAAAATAGGAATTTCCATGACTGAAAACAAGAAATTTAGATTTTTCGAACACACTGATTTTGATTGCATCATCATCGATATCATATTTAAGTTAATATGTTACGCTCGTGCATGTTCACTCTATACGGACGACTTCATTAACAAGGGTGGGAGAACCTTACACAAAAACTGCTGCAAAAGAGTTATGAGAAAGAACTATTGAAACGATTTTCTCGCTGTGCTGAAGACCCATTGGTGGCATTGGGCTGTTTTCTGCTCTTTGGTCGGGTTGTTTTTTCTTTGACACATTTCCCATTTCCATTCTCAATTTTACATAAGTTTTACGGTCACCATCACGAATTGGTTGACCGATACAATGTGTCGGTGTCTTAACTCACTAGCGATGTTTTCGCAGTCTTAGACACCAGTATAGTCATCTGATCTGTAAGTTTACCGGTTGTGTCGTATTCCCAATTGTGACATCTTGACTGAGTGTGAATGCGCATGGTGGATGATTCATGAATAGCATCAGATGCTTACCCTGTCGACGCACCCGGTCCCGCTTCTTTTAGATGTCATAAGATTCCCTCAGTTTCTGTTTATTATATATTTTTTTTTCTTTCTAATCGATTTACGAGATTTGAACATCGGTAAAATACTGTAGCCTTAATTGAACAACAAATACATGGTAGATAACTACAAACATGGTTTCGCGTTCTTGTATATTTAGATTCTAGAACCGTCGTCTATTATCGAATGTGTCCTATTACCGATGTCTGATTGTGGATTTCCATGATGGGTGATCATGCATAGCACGAGACGCTTAATCTATCGACACATTGTGATTCGGTCATTTTTTGGGGTTAATGCGATACCTTCAGTTTTGTTTTTATATTGATTTGTATGTGCTTAATAGGATTTTGAGATTGAACATCGATAAACTTCTGTTGTTTCCTATATATTTATACAAATAAGTACTGATAAACTTTAAAAAAAAACAATCAAAACAAACTCGACCTAAAAATATTAGCAAGGCCAATGAAATTTTCCCTCTAATAAGTTCATTTTGATGCACCATGAGAGAATTAAATGTCATAGAAAGGCGTTCATTAAAATGTATAAAGTGTTATTTTCATTTTGTTAAAGCATATTATAATTTTATTGCAAATTAAAGATACTAGTATCTAGTAAAATTGAGAATGGAAATGGGGATTATGTCAACAATATTTAAATTTAATAATTTACATTGCCATAAAAGTGGAGGTTTGGCTAGCCACAAAACCAGGTTCAACCCACCATTTTTTCTTAAAATGTCCTGTACCAAGTAAGGAAAATGGCCATTGTTATATTATAGTTCGTTTCTGTGTGTGTTGCATTTTAGTGTTGTGTTTCTGTTGTGTCGTTGTTCTCTTATATTTGATGTGTTTCCTCAGTTTTAGTTTGTAACCCGGATTTGTTTTTTCTCAATCGATTTATGAATTTCGAATAGCGGTATACTACTGTTGCCTTTATTCAAAGAAACAACAACCCAACCAAAGAGCAGACAACAGCCGAAGGCCACCAATGGGTCTTCAACGCAGCGAGAAAATCCTGCATCCGGAGGTGGTCCTTAGCTGGCCCCTAAATAAAATTGTGTACTAATTCAGTGAAAATGGATGTCACACTAAACTCCAAAACATATAAATGAACTAAAATTAAAAAAAAACATACAAGACTAACAAAGGCCAGAGGCTCCTGACTTGGGACAGGCGCAAAAATGCGGCGGGGTTAAACATGTTTTGTGAGATCTCAACCCTCCCCTATACCTCTAGCCAATGTAGAATAACGAAACACATAGCAATACGCACAGTAAAACTCAGTTCAAAAGAAGTCCGAGTCCGATGTCAGAATAGGTAACAAAAGAAACTAAGCAAAATGACAATGATACATAAATGAACAAAGGACTACTAGCAGTTACTGACATGCCAGCTCCAGACCTCAATTAAACTGAAAGAAAAATTATGTCTTCATCATATGAAAATCAAGTACAATCCCTCCCGTAAGGGCTTTAGTATCATACCATCATAAAATATATGAGAAGAACATAACCCGTATCATGCCAATAACTGGTTTTAGAGTAAATGTGTTTATTTCCGATGCAAAGACCCTATGAGTGAATCAATATTAATACCAAAATATGCAATCCTTAATGACTTGACAATTTGTCATGTTTTAAAGAACTCTACACATTATGAAATTTAATATATACAATGTGTAGGTCACGCCAAATTCGGGCTCTGAATTCTCCCTTTTTGGAATTAGAATTTTAAAAGATGCAAAAAAATATTATAAATACAAGTTAGGAAAGTGTTTTGAGATATAAAACCATTTCAAAAGGTCCCAGACTAACAAAAATATAAAAAAAAATATCCACCGTTACGGGGACGATGGCAAACTCTAAATAGATCAACGAACAAGAAAAAACGGAAGCATTGGTTTAAATTAGGCAAAAGGAAGATAAAAGGTAATAGAACAATCGTAAATGATATTAGGCTAATGATTTAGTACGCCAGACGCGCGTTTCGTCTACGAAAGACTTATCAGTGACGCTCGAATAAAACAGTTATCAGGCCAAATAAAGTACGAAGTTAAAGAACATGGAGGACCCAAAATTCCAAAAGGTTTTGTATAATACAGCTTAAGTAATCTATTTTTAATAGACACTGGAAACATTGTTGATTTTTCGTCCGTACAATACACTTATGATATAAATTGAATTATAAATTATAGGATACCATTTATATAGTTGGTATTGAATTTCGGTTCAGGTGAACCGCCTCGGTGATTCCAGGGTTGCGTGCTAGCCTCGAGTGCGGTAGGTCGTTATGTCGTCAAGCCAAAGACTTTAAAAAACGCATTTGTAGCTTCTCCGCTAAGCATCCGACATTTAGGAGTTAGAGTGAAAAGTGGACCTTGTGAACTAGCACATTAAAAATCCGACTACTTACAAGTATGATTCATATTCGTATCGCATTAACCAGTTCTCGTCCTTAATATGCATTAGTTTTGCCACGTTAAACAGCCATACATCCATTCATTCATCCATCAATTGAAACCTATGTCACTAAGATGGTTCTATAAATGTTCATTTTTGACCTTCTTAAAGAGGCTTCAATTAAGACGAGAATTACTTCATTTAAATTGAATGGTACAATAACTTATTTCAGACGTAGGAAATGTTATTTTAGAACTTTAAAACATATTTGATTATGTACTAAAATTGGCTGTTGGGCTATTGGTATAAATGTTCACCAATTTGGGAGGGGGGAGGGGGGGATTTTTAATGTTTTATGTATTGGTCTTTCAACCTTATGGTCGATAGCGTACGTTATGAAGGTTATTAGAAAACAACGGTTTTATACAATATGTTTTTACCTTTGAGTTCCATTCAGGTGTCTTTCTCCATGGCTCCTCTAAAAGTACAACATCACCTTTATCTAATCATTAAATGTTAAATAATCATTATCCCCCCTTATGATGCATTCATTTTCTCTGTTTGATTTTCTAATTGATATCAATATTTAATATGATTGTGGAACAATTACGTTCTAAGAAAATTCTTTTAAAATACAATAAAAAAGTGGTTTTTTTTGTACCATGACAGTCTAATTTATGTAGCTCACAAGTGTAATTATTTTGTTCAATTTTTTTCTTTCTTAATGTATAGACTTATAGATACAACTGTTGTATCAGCAAAGCAAACATGAAATTCAAATATACAGACATTCTAATATGTAGATTTAATTGAAAAGAAGCTATCCATAAAAACAGGTTCAACACACCACTTTTGTCATAAAATGTCCTGTACCAAGTCAGGAATATGGCAGTTGTTATCAAATAGTCCGTTTCTATGTATGTTGGCGTTTGTTTTTCTTGCAGTTCAGTGTTTGTGTTGTTTCGTTGTTTTCCTCTTATCGGTGTCAGACCACCAATTCACTCCCTCCAATTAAGAACGTATGTAAAAGTAGCCCTACTCTGACAAAAAATAGTGCTTTTGATGTCATTGTTTATAGTTAATGTGTTTCCCTCGGTTTTGGTTTGTGACCCGGATTTGTTTTCGCTTAATCAATTTATGACTATTGAACAGCGGTATCCTACTGTTGCCTTTATTTACAAGATTGACCGTTTACATAATTATCAAATATTCGATTATATTTCTTATGTAATTTAATTGAATGCCGTTGTTTACATAACTTGCTGTTCAGGAGATCAGGGTAATAAAGGAGATGTGAAGTTGTTATCATGCAGACTTTCTTAGATTACATTTTGACAAACTCTCAATATTTAAAAAAAACTATATGTGTAATTAGAGCAAAGTTTACCAGCTAAACGTGTTCAATACATTAGCAAAATGTATATTAGCCAAACGTTTTAACGGCATCGGTAATAATACCATGGGTATATTTTTACAATATTCGGCCGTCATAGTTATCTGGGATATTTTTACCTTTCTTTCAAATGTACAAAATCATAAAATAAGATTGATAAATCAATTGTTCGGCGACACTTCAATCAATTCAGTGTTTAACCGAAGTAGTTCTATTTTTACCAAGATCTTATCCAAGTCGCATACTAAGATATGGCATGATAAAGAATGGTCGCGGCTTCATGCGGACAAAATTAGAATTCATCATTTAGTTCTCAAATAAGAGGTAAAAAGATTTCATCCAAGAAGCCAATTTTCTAAAAAAAAAAAACAATAAACATATTTCTTTTACTGACCTCTCAGGGTTATACTTAATGGAAAAGAAAGGATATAGAAAACCAATTCATGACGCAAAAATCACTGTACGTACATGAACGCATAGAAAGCAAAGGTGCAGCGTTTCTATTGCTTTCTCCATCACAAAGTCAGTGAGGCCTGAACTTTGTAGAAAATCACTAACCTCACTGCATGTTCAAGACGCCCAGTAGCTTCGGTTTTAGGGGAATTCATTGTTGGATGTCGTTACGCTATTATTGTGAATTGAAGAACACAGCTACGAGGTAATATTAGCAAGCTAGAAATTATATTTGACAATTTTATAATATAATTCTATTTATTTATTTATTTATTTATTTATTTATTTATTTATTTATTTATTTATCTAATTATTTATTTATTTATTTATCTATTTCCTTTGCTTTTGAAATAAGCTTCATAATTTTCTCATATAATTGTCACTTACCCTCAACTAGATACACTTCTATATCTTTTACTCTCATATTGCCATTGGCAATAGACTTATAATTTTCGTCATTCATTGTGTATGATGATCCAAAATTGTTTTTTCCATTCAAATTGAAGGTTGTACCATCAAAGTTAATTGTGCCAGAAAAGGTTTGCAAATCTATATCACCGAATGTAGGTCCATAGTCGGCATGATCGTATATGCTATTGCGATAATTAGAAACTGGCATTTTTACCGGTTTCCATGTGCAATTTTGATAAAGTCTGAAGAGGAACGATTCAGTGTCCGTTTGAAAGTCCCCAAGACTTTTCCAACTGACTGAAGTGTATCCACCATATATAAAATTGTCGTTATAATAAAGAATTGTTACAGTTGGGCCTTTATTGTTACATCTATTGTGGAAAGCTCTTGAAGTACACCCATCTTCAGAAGCCTTATACAAAAGTCTGTACTTTTTCATACCACCGATCCATTTTGCCATTTGCCTTTGGTCTTCTCTTTTAAATTGAACTATCATTTTAAAAACCTGCAAATGTGAATAAACTGTTTCGATGAATTTATTGTTTAAAGTGCATGACAAGATTTGGTGTGTTAGACGAATCCGGCATTAAAGTGATCAAATTGACTTTTTATGTTCAGAATAAGCAGATCTGTCATAAGGTTGACTTCATTTACCCACTGCTTTCATTTAGGTTAAAATTGGAACGATAACATCATAATGAGACTGAAATATCCGATGTCCTGTTACGACACATAATAAGCTTTTTCATTGCGTAGACTTGCGTAAAATATATTTCAATGTTTTCCTTCAAAATAAAGGACAAAAACGCATGATTTATAAAGTCTCAAATTTCTGAAGAATGCGCTATTTTGATATTGTAAAAATTTTCTGAAATACGAAAATTTGGTAAAAAAAGTAGGAACAAGCAAAACGAACCTTTGATACCTTTTGTTTCATTCATAAAAACAACACGAACTCGTCCAGTGTCCACTTTGATTATCAATTTAATTCATGTACACGTGGTGTAAAAAGAAGCGCAAATCAACCTGTTAGTCATTTACAGTATAATTATATATTGAAGACTATTTTGAAGAGTAGAACTTTTAACAAAGTTCAATTATTATATACTTACTAAAAGTAAAAGAACATTTTTTTTATCATATTTATATATACTACTCAAAGAGAGTTTATTAACACTTCCATTGAGATTTATAGGTGCAAAACTATGAGGGTTCATATCATTGAAGTAGACTCATATGTAATCAATTTAGCCATCAGATTTACCACTTTGTCAATTTTGTGCGTTTTATGCATTTTTCAACTAGACCATGAAAAAAAAATGTTAAAATTTTGACTTTTATTCATGACCTTTTCCATCAAATTTTGCGAACAGTGTAGCTATCTGAAATTTTACCAACATAACTGTAGTGCTTTTGAATACACAAATGATTGAGGATTAAGAAAACATAAACTTGAAAGATAAATCGAGATTTTGTTTTACTTTATTTTCAGTCAGAAAATGTGTGTGCTAAAACTATTATTATTTATTATTGAGTTAATAAATGAGTCTTTTGTATTCATTTTAATTGTACATTTTAAGTAAAGAAGTAGTGTAGGAAAACAATCAAATCATAACTATAATTCTTAATCGACAAACATTACAAAGTTTATCTTCAATAATTTTTCGAGATCACTTTCGATATAAGCAATTATTGTTACCTTATAAGATATTACACGCAGACAAATTGTAAAGCAATAACTTCAACTAATCGAAATGCATAAGTTTTAAATTGCAATGACCGTTTCATATCAAAATAAGTGCTGGGTGTATAGGCGAGGGGGAAATTACAAATTTTTTAAAGATACTTTTGTAATTATGACCAAGCAATAATCAATCAAACGTTTTGCTAGGATTACAAAAACCTATATGTTTGCATAAGCATAGTTTTCAGATCTTTCAAAAGCGTATTTAAAGCAATCAACATTGTTGGCTTAACAAAATTATTGACCTCGCCTTATGAAAGCGTTAAAGTATTTACTCATAATACTTAGTTGTAGGCTGATTAAAGTTACGTTTTATTTCACTTAAGTTAAAATTAAGTGGCCGATTAATGTAAAAATGTCAATCATCCACATCCAAGGCTTGGTCATATTGAATGTACAGAATGATCTGGGAAACTATTTAGATAAACTTTAATGCATCGAATCATATAAACATGTATTCATCAAGTACTTATAGACCACGTCTGAGTCATGTCTTTGTACACTATATACCGGTTAACAGGTTAATCGGTCGAAAGATAGTCCAAGTAACCGATTTGGTAAAATGTTCAATTTGACATTATGTATTAAACAATATGACGTGCTTCTTTCGCTTTGTAAACAACAGCGTGATAAAATTCTCGATATATCTATACATAGCGCAGACTCAGAGATGTACAAATTAATGGCTGTTACTATTTACTTCCCACATGAATCCACATGTATGGTAACCTATGTGCAAACACTATGTGGATATCGTTGTGTCCAAATTGAAATTGAAAAAGGAACTACAGAACCGTTATTCCTATTCTAATGCATAACAAAAAGAAGTAATGTATAAGATCTTAAAAAATGTATAAAATCAAAGCTTTTAAATGTTTCGGTTAAGAATTATAAGGAATGATCACATTTTATCTAGTGGTTAATAAAGACATAATTCATGCAAGCCTTAGATTTATTTGAAATTTGTAGCTTTTATCTTACAGGGGGTAAAATAGAACAGCCATACACACGGCAATCTTACCTACGCTTCAGTTTTTCAAATTACCGTATTTGTCATATTCGAAATAATTCGTGAAAGCCATAGATTTGTTATCATTTTCACAATTCTATCCCTCGCTAACGCTCAAGATAAAATTCGAATATAACGGCCCAGGCCATGTGAAAATTTCCAACAAATGGCTTGCATGAATTATTTCTTAATTAACAGGAAAGAAACAATCCCCCTTTTCACATAATGTTGTCAGTACTGCAGGGTGTGCATATGACTTTGTGATACTGTGCATTATTTTGCTTTGTTCTTATGCTTACTATATTAAAAAGATGCGCTAAAGAAATGACATCGTATTTATAAGCAGGTTAATAAATTGCATAGATTGAAATAATAAACTGTATAACCTACCTAGGAAAAATTCTAAGTACTAGAAATTAACGCTATATACAATCAGTCAAGATATAAATTTCATTTCCTTAAGTTTATCTGTACACTGTTGTTAAACATTAAAATATCAGATTAAATTTCAGATTTCAGGCTGACACGAAAAAAGAAAGATTACGTGAATAAACATACTATTATACAACAGAACCAAACATAAAGTCATAGTTGTGTTGATAAGTCAAAGTTTATAACCTTTTTTTATGTAATGCATTTTTCGTTGTTTCCTCATATGGCTAAAAAGTAAAAATACAAAAATACCGAAATCAAAGGAAAATCCAAAACGGAAAGTCCCTTATATATGTCAAAATCAAAAGCTCAAACACATCAAACGAATGGAAAACTGTCATATTCCTGACTTGGTACAGACATTTCATTATGTAGAAAATGGTGGATTAAACCTGGTTTTATAGCTAGCTAAACCTCTCACTTGTATGACAGTCGATGTAGAATTCCATTCTATTGACAACAATGTGTGAGCAAAACAAACAGACATGATAGGTAAAAATGTCAAAAATTGGGGTACAGCAGTCAACATTATAATAAAATCTTAACCACTATAAAAACACTATAAATGTGTTGTATGTATAAAATAAACTAAATAAGAGGAAAGGGAGAACAGAAACCGTGTTTCATCTCGTCATTGAAAGTCTAGATGTCTAGTTCAAGAGATAGCTCATAAGATTCGAATTCAGCGAGTTTTCATTGCACAAACTTTGCGAGAACAATTCTTGATGATCAATTCATTTCTTAATCCTGCGTAAAAGAGAGGCGAAAGATACCAGAGAGACATTCAAACTCATATGTCGAAAAAAAACTGACAACCCCATGGCGAAAAAAGACAAACAGACAAACCATAGTACACAAAACACAACATAGAACAAAAAAGGAAGTTGCACTTTCTAAACAGATAGAAACAAAAGTTGGATGCGAAGACGATCATCTCAACCAGATGCGACAGTAACAAAAATAAACGACAAAAAATCAAGTACAATAATTAATCTTCTTTATATTAGTCCAGTAACCAGATTATGAGTTGGGATCATGCGTTCCGAATCCGACGGAATATGTTTGGGTAGAACAACGATTGCACATTTTGTGTCCCGTGTGGCCGGGATATAATAAATTTAAATATATAGACAATCATAATTTTCTTTTATCCACTTCGTTGGAAAGAAGGGTTCTGATGTTAATGCTGTTAATTGGTCGACTTATAATTGCATTTTTTACCTGAATCATATGTCGATTTGTTACGTTCAAGGTTCAATGATTGTCATTGAAATGGACATCAGCACGCTTTATCATTTATTGTAAGATCATCATTTACTTACGGTATTATTTCATTTGTTAATTATTACTTTGGATACGTGACAGGTTTTCATCTATCCTGGCTTTGATGATTATTATAAGCCTAAGTTTACTTCATTAATGTTATAGTTTTAAATTACTATTTAATACAATATACTTTTTTGTCAGTGAATATTCGTATTTACATTTTTATTTGTATATATCATACAGAATTTTTTTTTCATTATAACAGATCGTAAAATTTCTAAATCTTTTAGACATATTTTAGTTGTATTTTCTTATTAATTTTTTTATATTATTTTGTTCGCACGTATAGTATTTCTGCATAGTCTGTTTTGAACAAAGTTATTCAGGGCAGTTCATGTACTTGCATTATTGATTATTAAACATAATACTGAAGTATTGTTCCGATGATTGATTAATTGCTTCTTGCTTAACGTTATTATAGTATAAATAATTAAACACAAGTCTCGTTTTGGCTGAAAATCAATTGTTTAATTTTTAGTGTGATTTGGCACATTTGAAGATACGTTTGGACAGAAGGGCAATTGAGATATGAGGTTCTGCATGGAAGGAATAAATAGTAACTATTGTTTGGGAAGAACAACGATTGTAGGATATTTGTTCCGTTTGGTCGGAATATAATAGCAGAACAACAAGTTTAGATTATATATGTCCCGTTTAACGGAATACCATAATTCCCGCTTGGGTGGAACAAAGATTGTTGATTTGATATACAGTTTTGACAAAATATGATAACGGTCCCATTATTTGGGCAAAATATGATTCCTTTTTGGGTAGAACAAAGGTCAATCTAATTTGGACAATAAAAGTTTCAGTCGTTTTTTTCTCATTGCCCCATAAACTGCTGAAGCATATGTTTATGATTTAAGAAATCCCTGTTTACAAAATACGTAAAGTGTTAACATTCACGCGCATGACGTACCAATTATGACATGGAAATACCAAATGCTTG